TTATTTTATCATGTAATGTTTTTGGGGACAAATTCCGCAACTCTTTTAAATCAATGGATTTACTCTGAAATTATTTTAAAAGCATAAATGAAACCGGTCTTTTCTGGCCGTGATTTTGGGGATGTCACAGTCACTTAGGGGGAAATTGTTGAAACATAAAAGTGACCCTCTTAAACTTAAAAGAGATCTGAAGCTACCTTTCAAGAACCGCAGTCAAATTTCAACACCGCAATCAAGATCAGCAACCACAATCATCAACTCTTAGTCTCAGTCTTTTATTCGTTATTCTATAAGTACTTCCTTTTATACAGTGTGCCCTGCGTGGCAATTCTTTAACAGATTAGACTGTATGTAATCTTCGAGACTCTCTAAATAGAGTTCTCTCTTTCTCAATGAATTACCTCTCTTACGCATCTGAATCTTATCACTCATCGTACTCTCTTCTTACTTATCACTTAAATAGAATCGTAACTGTTTGAAATCTCTCTTCGGAGCAAGTTTTTCTAGACTTAATCACTAAGTTTGATCTCACTTACTAACTTGGTCTGATTGCATTCCTTGTTATAAATCAACTTAAGTGTATACTTGATATAATACTTGTTGTCTTTTATATTTCCTTATATTTTTCCGCATCTAACTCTATAACTTTCTAACTCTAACTTATTATTATTGTTGAGCTTTAATGATCCTTTAAGTTAAACTTTATTCCGCATTATCACTTGTTCTAACGTTTGTTCAAGTGTGACTCAAGTTTTTCTCTCAACAAGTCTAGAAGATCTTGAAATAGTCTAATCAAGAATAAAACATGTAGTTTATCACTAGCACACGACTTGAGGTTTATAACCTTTTGTGTTGACATATTCCTATTTCTGTGCCCATTCTAGTTAAAGTTGGCTTTGCATATGAGTTCTGAGAGTTCTCAATTGATTGCATAACAACTTGGAAGCAATGGCAGGCCCTTGTGCTGCCATGTGGCAAGAAGTTAAGACTGCACAAGTTCAGTCCATATGAATTTGTCACTAACCGTGTCTTGTGATTATGGTTTTGACAAATTCACATGGAAAGGAACACATACACCATAAAATCTAAGTGGCATAAGGTCTCTCTCCGATTCATGAAAATGATGGTGAGGAAACGCTTTCACTAAGAGGTTTTAAGTAGATAGAAATTGTGATATTTGCATTCTCAAAGTCGTTAGTGGAGCGTGTGTGGTTAACCGACACATTAACATGGACTTGTGAGAAATGGCAAAGGTCTAAACAATTGAGACTATGATTACGACATCCCTTTTCATAGTTCTGAAATTGTTTAGACACACATGTGTGCTATCTAAGGAAAGGTGTATGATTTTGATAAAGTTTTATCAAAGCATCTCATATCAGAAATCTGAACTTTGGTAAGAAAGTCAATAAAGTATTGATTTCTAGAAGTCCTGCTGATTTTTGAGTACATGTCAAAGCTAGTGGGAGCATAAGTGTTATGCTAATAATCATCATGTTAGTGAGAGCATGATAATTATAATAACTGTTGCAAGTTAGCAATGTTAATTATAGAAAACAAAAGTTTCAATTGGGAAAAAGTTGTTTTGCTATAATTAAGGGAGAGGGAATTATACTTCATTTCAATTCTAAAAGCTTAGATTGATTTTAATCAACTTTAGTCAAGGATATATATATATATATATATATATATATATATATATATATATATATATATGAATTTTATGTTGGAATGGCTCAACTTAAGGAAATTCTACATATATTGCGTTCTCAAAATTCGATTATGATTACGACATCCCCCTTCATAGTCAAATTATGAAAACATGGCAAATTAAAAAAATATTGTAGCAAAAGATTGATCAAGGATCATGTCTTTATGTAAGACATCATGAATCGTGTCACATATGCTTCGGGTATAGGATCGATTGCATGTGCTATAATATTCATCCTTTCTAAATTTTCCAAATGCTCAAGGCATTAAGAGGGGAAAAGTCTAGAATTGGATATGACTAAAATGATTAAGCAATTGTCGAGGACAATCTAAGGTTTACCAAAGATTGGTTACTCATGGACAGTTGGAAGTATATTGTTAATTTTGAAAGGACCATATTGGCATATTCTGAAAAGAGGGAACTCTTGTTCAGAAGTGATAGTCAAAATGGGAATATGGAAATGTTTTTCATAGGTGGAAGTTATTCAATCTGTGTAAGATTAGAAAACTTAATGCAAGAAGGATGTTCAAAGCAACGTACTTTGAATTTGAGACTTCGTTTCCATGGAATGTTCTCCATGGGCCCCTCGATGATTTAGTGATGACACCCGAAGTGCTTGGCCAAGCCTGGACTGATTTGATTTGTTCAATTAGTCGGTCATCATAAATCGGAAATCAGGAAACAACAAATGGACAGAGAGAATGATTATAATCCATGTCTCAGTCCATATGATATCTAGAATGGAGGAATATATGATCCCTTATCTAATGGACGCGTCATTGATTTGTTCAGAGTACGGCAGCGGCTTTAAGAGCTACGATTGCTAGTTGGGTTTTGGAGTCATACGCAATAATAGTTTTAGACTTATCCAAGTGGGAGACTGTTGGATTAGTGTCTAAGTCCATAACTATAATTGGTATGTACTTGACCCGATTTGGCATGGTCCATTTGGGTTGCATGGCATCGAAACATTTGGATAGACTTTTTGTGAGAAGAGGTTATTTGTGATTTATATTGATATATTATAAGTTCTAATATATTAATATGAAATCATATTATTTAATTAGTATTGATCAAGAAATAATTTGGAATTAATTTAGTGATAAAAAAAGACTAATTAAATATGGACTCTTATATATATATATGGAATGGGCCAAGGTTTATTTAGGATGGGCTAAGAGTGTATGGAAGTCCATGGATAGTCCATGGAGCTTTTAACCCATTGATCCTATGTAAATGAAAGGTCATGGGTATTAGGGTTTACATGGATGTAACCCTAATCCTCCATAATATATAAAGGAGTTCTTGGTTTACAAAAATTGGCACTAGTGATACATATATGTGAGGGCTAGTCGATTTGAGCATAAGAACCTTTTCTCCCAAGTTATTCCAAGATGTTGGTGATGTTGTGTGAACCATTTGAGGTGTCACACTTGAGGCACTAGGCTCTTAAGCTCCATGGAATCAAGCTACAACAAAGGTATGTATTCTAACTTGTTTTTATTACCCATGTATAGAAGATTGTATGCTAGTTAGGGTAATACCGTGGAAACTTCAAGGTTGCATGTACACCATAAGAGTGTTAGAATGCTCAAAACCCTTCAAAGTACGCACAGGGAACTCCTTATGTACACCCCGCATACTAGGTTTAACCTTAAACCTACCAACTTCCGAAGGCCATAACTTCTTCGTTCTATGTCTGTTTCCGATGATCCTTATATCCACGGAAAGGTAACGAGAAGCTCTATGCTTCTATCAACTCATAATTTTCTTAAAACTTCCCGAACTAAAATCCAATTTCCATAAAAGCCCGAACTGCCACTTGACGGTTATACCCTTGGGCTTCAATTCACGAATCGGAATCCTGGATCATCTAACTTACATTACCCACACCCAAATGGGTCTAAATCTCCCATTCCCAAATGCCCTAAGCCTTGTGATAACCGATTGTGGGGTCACAACCCCGAATTAGGAAACGATTCGGAACAGGGTGTTACATTAAATATCCTCCTACTAAATGTTCCTACTTACAAGATCATCACAAGTGTCAAAATCAAATGATGAGATAATGAAAGAGAATTAGTGTTTTACACATGACAATTATTGAATGGATATGAGGATGAAGTAGAAAACAATTTAATTTTGGGAAAATAACATAAAAGTCATTAAGTTTACACCAACATTCTAATTTGACACTGTGTTTCTTTTTGTCTCAAATTTGATATTGTGTTTTCTAGTTTGTTACAATTCTGACCACTTTATCAATCAAACCGGTTGTATGTGGATGTGACATGATGACGTGTCAAAACTAAGTTTTTTTTTCCACAAAAGACACTAAGTTTTCATTTTTTTTCAATTTTAACACTAAGGTTTTTTTTTATTTTTTATTTTTTATTTATAATTTTTACACTCCATTTTTTGTTCCAAATCGAACATCATTTATTCCAATTTTTACATTCAAACTATAATGTTATGTATAAATATGTATTAGTTATATCATAACCGTATTTTATATTAAATACGCAACTTTAAAAAGAGTTTGGAGGTGTGAAGTGTACAATTAGATAACTAATTTGATATCAGAAACATGAGGATCCGATGTTCGCTTTAATTACCAATGGACCGTTAGTTGTATATATTTGTGATTTTTGGTTCTTGCAGATGTACTTCTTTTTCATTTAGCATTACAATAGTGTATGAAAAATACGATTATAATATGATTAATACATATTTATACATAAAATTATGATTTGAATATAAAAACCTTGTATTTATGTAAAATATGGTTTTTAAATGAAAAAATATATTTATATGATTTCAAATGTAAAAAAAATATTTATACGGTTTCAAATGGAAGAAAAAAACAGAGTGTCACGTCATCAAAACTGAATAAAATTGAAAAAAATGAAGATCAATTCAGAAAAAAAAATGAGTCTCAAAATTAAAAAAAAAAATAATACTAAAATAAAAAATGAGTGTCAAAATTGTACAAAAATGAAAATTTAATGTTTTTTGTAACATTTTTTTTAAGAAAATTTTGATACATCAGCATGCCACGATAATCAAAAGTGGTATGTCAGTAGACAGCCGATTTGATCATTCAAGTGGTCGGAATTATAATAAATTTAAAATTTGAAGAAAAAAAAACACAATATTAAATTTGAATTTTTATTTAAACTATAAATGCTTTTGTATTATTTTACTTTTGATTTTTCTAAAATCTTTTATCAAAAATTTCAATTTTATCTTATCCGAAAGTCAACGATTTTGATTTTCTTGGGTAGAGGTTGTAGCCGAAAACAGAGGAAGATACTAAACAAAACAAACTGGAAACCCCAAACTCTCACCCAATAACTTATAAATTCCTCCTTCATCTCCAATAGACTTTTCAATTAAAATTCTCAGCTTCTTCCAAAAATTCAGCAAACTGTTCAACAAGAGAAGAAGATCGATGGCGAAAGAGGAAGTATTCATTGGTTCGATCGATCAAGGCACAACAAGCACCAGATTCATCATCTACGATAAACATGCTCAAGCCATTGGATCTCATCAAGTCGAGTTCACTCAATTCTGCCCACAAGCAGGGTAATCCACAACTTCAATCTTGTTTTGATCGAATCTTATTTAAAAGAATCATACCCATGAAACCAATTTCCCCTTTTTTTTCATTACAGATGGGTCGAGCATGATCCGATGGAGATTCTTGAAAGTGTGAAGACGTGCATAACGAAGGCCGTTGATAAAGCTACGGCTGATGGGTTTAATGTCGATAATGGTCTTAAAGCCATTGGTATTACTAATCAGAGGGAAACTACTGTTGTTTGGAGCAAGTCTACTGGGGTTGCACTTTATAACGCCATTGTTTGGATGGATAATCGAACAACATCCATTTGCAGGTACATTTACAAAATTCCATCAATCTTTTCCACAATTTCTATTTCTTGATCTTAACTTACTTTGTTTTTCCAAAAAAAAAGAAAAATAGCAACTTTTTTGAGTTTTCGAATGATTGCTTTCTTGTGATCGGTGGGATTTGGATCAAGATTCTTGAACTAAAGCCAATTTGTTTACATGGAAAAATTGGAAAGCCTTTTGATTTCTACTTTTTTTTTTGTTGTTTTGGGATTTGGATCACGATCCTATATTGATATAATTGCTTTCTTGTTTCTGCTGGGATTTGGATTAAGATTTGAATTTGATAAAATTGGGATGATCGCCTTTCTCTTAGAACAATTCTGTCTAAAATCGAAACCCACTTTGTTTTCATCAAAAAATTGAAAATCCTTTCCTGTTTATTATTGATTGTTTTCTTCTTGCCGGCGGGATCTGGATCAAAAATCTATTTTGTTGTAATTGGGATTATCATCCTTTTTCTAGGAATTAAAGTGTCAAAAGTCAAAAGTTGCTACTTTTTTAGTATGGGTCAAGGTTGGGTTAGCTTAGTTGGTCTACCATCACTTTTTATTTTATTTTATTTTATTTCATAAGTAATTCATGTATTAAATGTGAATACAAAAACTTATATCATTGAAGTTTTTATTTACTTTAATGAAGAAAGCCATTTGAGTACGTTTGCAAAGTTTTTAAATTTCACCCTTTTGATTAGTTTGGGTGCAAAGTTTTTAAGAGGGTGTTTGGCTTTGCTTTTTAAATGACTTTTGAGACTTTTGACTTTTTCAAAAAGTCAAAAAGTTTAAAAAAGTAACTTGAAAAGATCTTTTAAAATAGCTTGTTGAGAAGAAGAAAAAATAGGGGGTTAGAAAGTCAAGATTCTCTATGAATTTTAGCAACTTTTGCCTTTTTTCCCTTTGCCCCTCAAAAGTTTAAACAAACACATTTTAAAACTATCTTTTGGAAAAAGACATGAATCAAAAAGTTCTTCTCTAAAAAGGACTTTTTTGTTTAAAAAGCTATCCCAAACACCCCTAAATTGATTTCTTATTAAGAAGACGAGTTGAATTTGTTAATTATTATATTGGATTGCTGCTGTTTACACAAAAAAGTAATGTTTTTTTAACCACACTCATCACAAGTATATTAATTCATCTATCTTTAAACTCATTATTATGTAGGAAATTGGAGAAAGAATTATCAGGGGGAAAATCCCATTTTGTGGAATCATGTGGTTTGCCAATAAGCACATATTTTAGTGCACTGAAGCTCTTATGGCTGCTGGAAAATGTGGATGCAGTGAAAGCAGCAGTTGAGAAAAGGAGATGCACTTTTTGGAACCATTGATTCCTGGTTAATCTGGAATTTAACTGGAGGCATTGATAATGGCATACATGTCACTGATGTCTCTAATGCATCAAGAACCATGCTTATGAATCTGAAAACACTTGATTGGGATGAATCAACTTTGAAAACATTAAAGATCCCTAAAGCCATTCTACCAAAAATTGTAAGCAATGCCGAGGTAATCGGTCACATAGGAAAGGAATGGGTGATTCCCGGAATCCCTATTTCCGGTTGTTTAGGCGATCAACATGCAGCAATGTTGGGTCAATCTTGTAGGAAAGGAGAGGCAAAAAGCACTTATGGGACAGGTGCTTTTATACTTCTTAACACAGGTGAAGAAGTGATTCCATCAAAACATGGTTTGTTAACCACTTTAGCTTTCAAACTTGGGAAAGATGCCCCTGCAAACTATGCTCTAGAGGGCTCAATTGCAATTGCTGGAGCAGCTGTTCAATGGCTGAGGGACAGTCTTGGAATTATACGTTCCGCTAGTGAAATTGAGGAGTTGGCTTCACAGGTTGAGTCAACCGGTGGGGTCTACTTTGTTCCAGCTTTCAATGGGCTTTTTGCACCATGGTGGCGTGATGATGCACGTGGTGTTTGTATTGGGATCACAAGGTTTACAAACAAGTCTCATATTGCTAGAGCTGTTCTTGAAAGTATGTGTTTTCAGGTGAAAGATGTGTTGGATTCAATGCATAAAGATGCTGGTGAGAAAGGTGAAACGAAAAACGAAAAGGGACAGTTTTTACTTAGGGTGGATGGAGGGGCTACTGTGAATAATACTCTTATGCAGATTCAGGTTTGTTCTTGATTTTTACTAATTTTGTGATTAGTTTTTTCTTTGGTTAGATTGTGTAATTAAAAGTGAAATTGCAGGCGGATTTATTGGTAGCCCAGTGGTGAGACCAGCAGATATAGAGACAACAGCACTTGGTGCAGCGTATGCAGCTGGTTTAGCAGTTGGAGTTTGGACAGATGAAGAGATATTTGCAAATGGGGAGAGAATGAAGAAAGATACCACTTTCAATCCTGTGTTAGATGAGGAGTTAAGGAAGAAGAAGGTGGCCTCTTGGTGCAAAGCAGTTGAAAGGACATTTGATTTGGCTGATTTGTCCCTCTAAATTATGAATTTCCTTTTCTTTCAAATCCAGTTTCTTTTAACACCTTTGTTGATTCAGTTCTTGGCAATGCATAGTAGGTTTTTGTTGGTTTTTAATTGTTCAAAGTTATGGATATGTATCTTATGTATTGTTCAACTCAAAGGAAATAAAACCAAGTTAAAGTTATTAGCATATTCTTATGTTTACAAAGAATGGAAGATACTAAGCTAGGTCTATATGATTATTTTGTTATGCGTTATTCATTCGTGAGTTCATTATAAGTATATTAATTGTTTAAAAAATGAGTTCTCAAGTAATCTGATATACTAATGGCTTCCTTATGTATAAAAGTGCACATAGGATTGCAGTATCATTCTATTAGTCAGTAGTGACATCATTAGAACAAAGTGCACATAGGATTGAAGTATCATTTTATTAGTCACTACTCATCAGTAGTGCCCTCATATATGGAATTATAGCCTGAGCGAGGGATGTAGATTAATAAGCAACAACCGATGAAAGTCGTCATTCCAAATTTACAGAACATAAGGCCAAAATTGTATCGAGAAGGAACATAAGGCCAAAATTGTACAAATATATCCTAGTCTAAAATACCTCCTCAGTCTAAGGAGAAGGGCTGCGGATGCTTAGACGGGAACGAAAATCGTTGAAAAGAACCCATGGTAAACCCTTGGTGAAGATATCTGCAAAATTGTATCGAGAAGGAACATGTAGAACATGTATCTGGCCGGTTGCACTTTGTCTCGAACAAATTAAATGTCAATCTCAATGTTTTTAGTGCGTTGATGATGAACTGGATTACCGGCCATGTAAATAGCACTAATGTTGTCACAGTAAACAAGAGAGGTCCGAGACGGATGGGATCCTAATTCAAGAAGAAGGTTCCTGAGCCAACAAATTTCAGCAGCTACATTGGCTACCCCATGCATCCAGCCTCCACACTAGATCGAGAGATACTCATCTGTCATCTCAAGGACCAGGAAATAAGATTATCCCCGAGATAAATGCAGTAGCCGGATATGGAACGCCTGATGTCAACGCATCCTGCCCAATCTGCAATCTGTATAATAGATAAAGGATGAAAGCTAACCAGGGTGCATATGAAGGCTTATAGACGGTGTGCCTTTCACGTATCTAAGTATCTGTTTCAAGGCATTGAGGTGGCCGGATCGTGGGGCATGCATATACATACAAATTTGCTGAACTGCATATGAAATATCTGGTCTTGTGAATGTTAGGTATTGCAAGACCCGACTAGGTTGCGGTATGAAGTAGGATCATCAATTATGTCCCCGAAATCCGCAGATAGTTTACCAGTTGTTTGAGACGACAAACATGGTTAGGAAACTGGCGATTCTTAAAACCAAGAGGCTCATGCATGTAGGCTATCTCGGATTGGATTTTGATTAGTGTTTGAAATACCGAAAAAGCAAGAAAGACATTTGATTTGTTTGATAAAGGATATGTCCACAATAAATTAGTATAATCATCCAAAAATAATATATAATAACGATGACCACGCGTTCTAAGCACCGATGATGTCCATAGGTCATTGTGCACGATATCGAAAAGAAGAGAAGTACTAGATAAAGAATCATGAAAAGGTAATTTAACTTGTTTAATACCATAATAGAACGCAAGGCCAATATATATATATATATATATATATATATATATATATATATATATATATATATATATATATATATATATATATATATACTAGGTTTAAACTCGTGGAAACCACGGGTGTTATAGTAAAATAACATAGATTTTAAAAATAGAAATGTAATTTCGCTTAGCTAACATAGATTTTAAAAATAGAAATATGTTTCGCTTAGCTTATAAAATAAGATTTCACAACTTATACTTAACTCCTAAGTCCACTAAAAGAGTCATAAATTGTATTCCAATTTAGATATGTAGAAACTACGGTTGATAAAGAAAAACACAATTAATAAATTGGAGTCGTAATGACTAATCTAATATTTTGAAAAAAAACTAATAAAACATACTAACGGGATGTTTAGGAGTGCTTTTTAAAATGACTTATTAAACCCCATCATAACTATTCTTTTTCGAAATTTATATTGTTAAGCTCTGAATGGAAAATTGTTTTCCTTTTTTCCCATTGTAAATTGTTATAATATGTTAAAATCAAAACATGTATTTTTTAGTATACAAATAAAAATTAACTTAGATAAGCAAGTGATTATTAAAGATCCTCAAGTGATTATTAAACACAATTATATATGTGTGTGTTTTGGTTGCACAACAAAAAAAAGAACTAAACTTCAATAATACTTTTTGTGATTGTTATTTAATACCATTAACTCAATTTTAGTACTATTATTATTATTATTATTATTATTATTATTATTATTATTATTATTAATTTTTATTTTTATTGGTTTATGATAAAAAAAAAGATTTAAGATTATGTGCTTCTTTGTGATAGAATTTGAGAGCTCCGATAACTAAAATATATAACTTAGGGAATTCTCCAGAAAAATCTTAAAATTTTACCTTAATTTATAAAAAAGTCCCAAACTAAAATTTGTTCACGAAAAAGCATGAATTACCGGTAAAAATGGCAATTTGACCCATTTTTTTTTTCCGGTTTACCGGTTTTATTACTTACCTGTTTCACTAAAGTCTCATTATTTTACCCTAATTTACGAATAAGTCCCAAAATAAAATTTAGTGATGCTTTGACCATTTTCTTCATGTAACATATATTTTATCGGTTTCATTGTTGACTTAGACACCTAGTCATTAAATTAGTTGATAAGATGGATACAATGGGTTATATAATGCTACATTTACTGTAAAATTTGATATCCATCTCATCGGGTCATTTATGACTATGTATCTAGATCAGCAAGAAACCAATAAAATGTATGATTCCAGGAAAAAATGGCAGAAAATGAGTTGATGTCTGAAGAGATGGATATATTGGGTTACATAAGATTAGATAGACAATTTGATATTTCTTATAAACATAAAAAATAATGCAGTTGTTTCTAGTTTATGTAATTATTGTAGTCTTCGTTGGATGCATTTTATTTCCAAAAAAATATACAATACATCAGGATATCAAGTTTTATGCGAAACATAACATTATATAACTCAACATATCCATTTCATCATCTCATTTAATGACTAGGTGTCCTGGTCAGCAATGAAACCGGTAAAATGTATGTTACATAGAGAAAATGGTCAAATCATCACTAACTTTTAGTTTGGGACTTATTCGTAAATTAGGGTAAAATAATGAGACTTTAACGAAACATGAAAGTAATGAAATCGGTAAACCAGGAAAAATGGGTAAAATCGCCATTTTTACCGGTAATTCATGCTTTTTCGTAAACAAAATTTAGTTTGGGACTTTTTCGTAAATTAGGGTAAAATTTTAGGATTTTTCCGAAGATTTCCCTATAACTTAGATACATTTCTTTTTGAAATTGTGTTAAAAATATGTGTCCAATATAGTGCTAGAATTGTGTCTCATTTTGGATTTCAGTCAACAAAAAATGGAAATTGCAGTCAACATGGCATCATTAAAGGCATTACAAATCTAACATTTTGACAGAAAAAAATGAGTTTTGAAAACTAAAATGTTCGACGGTGCTGCATATATAAGAAAGGATAAAAACTATAAGAAAATTAAATGCAACATCAAGAAACTGATTTAACAATTAGGACATGTTTCACCGGTAACATACAACATTGTCGATTTTTTTTTTTTTTTTTAATTTTAGTGTGCTACTTTGCAATTCCAGCATTCGAAGAATAAAATGGATGATCTAAGCTAGATGTCATCTTGAACCAGTAACAAAGATACAGTTAGTTGGTCCTAGTAAGAATCGACCGGACCCCATTCTCACCGGTACACACACATAAAGCTTCATCACCATGTGAGTCAAGATTGATGCGAGTGCTTAATTCATTAATAAACTTTGGAAGAGTATCAAAGTCCATCTTGACGTGACTCTTTTTAAGGAATGGAATACATAAACATGCATAATTATAAGAAAAATAGGAAAAACAACAGATTAATCAAAAAAATTAAGCTACACATCAGGAGCGTTGTAGTCACACGTTGGAAAAAATTCTAGAAAAACATGAAGGGAAAGGTTATAAAATAGCCTATAGATTTGCAAATATATAGACACGGCATTGAAAATTTCACAATAAACATCATCCATTATATGTGCTTTACTAAATCTCAGGTTACAAACTTCAAGCTTTTACGATTAATATTGGTTTCATGAGCGCAAGGATACAAATCCTATATTTGAATATTAAATTACAAACAAAAAATGATTTTATTGCATATCCAAATAAGACCAATAAAAACCAAAATATCTAACTGTCATTACCTATGGATACTACAAAGGAGACAACTTATATCTTCCAACAGATGTTCAGCAGAGCTCTTATATCTTCCAATTACATGTTTTAAGAGGGTTCTACGCTGAAATTCAAGAACCATCAAAATGCTTCAATAAGGTAAAAAACCAGACACATGGGTTTACTTTGTTTATGGCTTATGCATGTCGGTAATGATTTAACTTGTAAAGCAACAAATGACCAGCAACATTACCCATAGCCATCATCCCTCCACCTGGACTATAGTACAAACACCGAGGATATTGCAACGCCTGATTTGCTGGTGGCCAGTTTGAAAAAACTATGTATGAAGACACATGCACCAACTTCATACTGTTTTTCTTCATACCGGAACAAATCACCAAAATATGTGCATTGCTATTAAACTTGAACAAAATAAATCTATGGGTATAATGAAACGATTGGAGGTGTATATGAAGCGGAATAGAATTTTAAATTTGGAATTAATAACGAATATTTATTTTTTCAAACTATTTTTGCGGATATTAAATTAGTAATCAAATTAAATCATCAATCGGGAGGATTTGAATTTTGATTTTGATTTTATTGAGAGATGAATGACTTTCCTGATTTATTGGGATAATAATGGAAGGAGAATTGAACGGTTATGGAGAGATGAATGAGTTGAAGGGTATAATAGTAATTTAACTTGGAGATCAAATAAGCATTTAGGGTATGCCACGTGTTATTAAAATGATTCTTTTATTAGGATTAGGATATATATATATATATATATATATATATATATATATATATATATATATCCAAATATTATAGTTTACCAGACTTATAGACAAGTACAAATAATATATAAATATATCCTAGTCTAATACAAATACATACAATATGTTGTCTAAGTTGCAGGAAATTGGAGTTATACAAGGCAGAAACATAACACACACACATAACTGAGAATGAAGCACAAATATAATAGAAAAGTCATGTGCAAAGCAGAAATATCGATGAACATATATCAAATAGACAAATATACTTACATATGAAACCAAGTTTTATTTTATTCACATATTCTTAATTTAAAGATCCTATTTACAGAAGGGCATGGAGAACTTGTTTACCGAATTATAAAAAAAGTAATAACATGTAAACATACAAACTTCAACCCAGTGTAGCCACCATGTACGCCACTGAGGATTGATGTAAAGAAGTGCAACAAATCCCAATAAGAACACAAAACATGTCGAACCAGAACTTGCATAAAAGCATGTCATATCGATACCATACCATTTCTCATTGTCTTCTTCAACTCGTGGATCTATTACCTGTGAATTAGTAGTCATGCATTTCTTCTCCAGTGGTGGGCCACAAAGAAGTGGATTCTCTTCATAGCTTGCCTCTGTGAAGGTACCAAACTGTGCTTTCATTTCTGGGAGTCTGCCTGAGAGATTGTTGTGAGAAACATTGAAAGTAGATAGAGAGGAAAGCTTAATGAGTTGTGATGGAACTGTGCCAGTCAAACCATTTGAAGAAAGGTCCAAGCTCTCAATATTTGCAAGATTTGAGAAGTTCACTGGAATAGGTCCAGTCAGGTGATTGTGAGACAGGTTTAAAGCACGAAGTTGAGTCAACAACCCTAGTTCTTCTGGAATTTCACCTGTAAGTTTGTTACTGGATAAATCCAATCCGGTCATGTAATTAAGGATGTCACCCTTGTAGTGGAGAAGGAGCTTTTTTGTTGTAAACTCAACTTCGACTTGTGTTCTAAATGATCTAACACCGACATTGGTAGAATCCGAATCCTGCAGAATACTCCCATAATGGTAAGAGGAAGAAAGGATAATCTGTAGTAGGGTTGTTTTTAAGAAATCAAAGTAACCTGTGCCAGTCCCGGTGATATTCTGTAGGCAGCTAGGTATTGAACCGGAAAGAGAGTTATATGATAAATCTAACAAACTCACGTCACTTAATTGGCACAACTGCTTGGGAATAGAACCGCTAAAGTTATTTTTTCTCAAAAGAAGAATCCTTAAATCGGATAGTTCGCCAATAAATTTAGGAATCCTACCTGACAAGTCGTTGTCTCCGATGTCTAAAGTCAAAACATTAGTCAAATTACGAAAGAAATTGGGTATTGATCCGGTGAATCTGTTGGAACCCAAATGAAGATGCATCATATTGTGCAAGTTTAAACAGGATGGGATGGGCCCAGAGAAAGAATTTTGTGAGATATCCAGAAAAGTGAATAAAGTTGGTCCACAAGGAAACCTGCCTTCCAAACTGTTATTTCTCACCACAAGTTCAATCAACCTACTCATGTTGCTTATCCAATCTGGGATCATACCTGTAAACAAGTTATTGCTAATATCCAGACTCATCAGAGAGTCAAAGTTTTCCTTGCTGCTCTTATTTCCAATTTTCCCTGTGAAATGGTTGCTATCTAAGTAAACCGAATTGAGGATACCCCAGCTTAAGTTTCCTGAGAGTACCTGGCCGTGCAATTTGTTCCTTGATAGTTTTAAGATCATCAAACTAGACTTTTTTGTAAACAATCCGTTTGGTACTTCTCCTGATAACTTATTATCAGATAAATCCAGTGCCGATAATTTACTAAAGTTACCAATTGAGGATGGGATAACACCACTTAAAGCATTCATGGAAAAATTCAAATTACTTATGTTGGGAAAGAAGTTTGGTATATTGTCAGGAATAGTACCTATCATGCGATTTCCAGACATATCCAACCACTTCATATTAGCATTCCTATACAGCGGCATACCGCCAAACAAGTTGTTCCTTAGAATAAGAACTTCCAGATTCATATTATTTTTAATCAACCAATTTGGAAATTGTCCCTCCAAGGAGTTGTGAGACATGTCTAGTTCCCGTAACTTGTGCTGGTGAAGTAGAAACCCAGGAATAACACGTCCTTTGGTCTTGTTCATATAGCAATTTGATAGCTCAAGAATTTCCAACTGGAACAATGGAATCCAGCCTATAGGCTCTTCTGTTTCCACCTCAAATTTGTCATTGTCGCTTGAAAATCGAATTACCTCAAGCTTTGAATGATTGGAGAAGGAGCTGAACGAGAATGAACCTTCAAATGTGTTATGACTAAAATCAACGTACTCGAGAGATGTGAGATTAGCAAAGAGTGATGGCACAAGTGTCCCTGTGAATTGATTTGAAGAGATATCCAGGAACCTCAGAGATGATAGATTGTTGAAATATTGAGGCAGAGTTCCATGAAGCATGTTGCCACTAAGATCCAACTCATGGAGGTTCTTCAACTTAGAGAAACCTGCCAAAAAAGAAAAGTGTGGTTCATCCTTTAAAATAATATAGTGACTTGCACCTTCATGATCATACGGCTTCAAAAAGATTAACTATTGGGGAAAGGCAATTTAACAAAAGGTGTGCACCGATTTAGCCATACTGTAAGAACATTGTGTTTGTACATCTAATTTAAACAATCTAAACACTTAATTGTGCATGCTTTAGATAACTTACCATGATCCTGTACTGAGCCGTTGAGCTTATTGCGAGCAAATGAGACAGCTCTTAGGGAAGATAATGCCTGTATTGCTGATGGGACGCTCCCAACAAACCTGTTGCCACTCAAATCTAAGACCTCCAGATGGTGAAAAGATGCAAAAGCTGGATGAAAACAATGGAGGGTTACTAAACAAAAACCCCGAGAAAGGATTTGTTAAAAATCATGTATTATTGATGGTTGAAGCTGTGGGGCCTTTCATATCCGGGATGCGTTGAAAACAATAATATTGTTTTGAATAAAGGAATGAAGAAAAGGCGCTACCTTCCATTGGTAGTGTTCCATTGAAACTATTTCCTATCAAGAGGAGGACTTCCAAATCAGGCAATTTGACAAATTCTAAATTAAATAAAGAGATATGTCAAACAATTCAATAAGGCGACTATCAGAAACAACGAAAATTATAATAATAATAATAATAATAATAATAATAGCTAAGATAAAATTTATTCTTTTAGTTTCTTTAATGGTGACTCATTTAGATTAAACATACCTTTGACGGGAAATGAACTTCGCAATGAAGTAATAGACCAGGAAAGATCAAGAATCTTGAGGGATGGAAGAGCAGTTAGGCATGATATGATACTCTTGTTGAAATCGTTGCCAGAAAGATTTATACTCTCCAGCCTTTTCAATCTCGATAAGCTATTACAAGCTGCAAAAAGGAAGGTAATTCTTAAAGAAACCATGGTCTTGTAAAGTTTTTGATAATGGAATAATTTAGGATTCACTAGCATTCAATAACTTTATCTTTGAACTATTCACAAGTTACCATAGCTAGGACCTAAGAGAAGCTAAATATCAGTATACCTTGGATATTGGGTGTGCCCACGAGCCTTCTATAGCTTAAATCTAGCTCCTCGAGGTTAGTCAGATGTGATAATGCTGTCATACCAAAGAAAACATATATCATGTATTCTTGTTAACTAACAAGATTAGTTAGAGTTAGTTAGAACGTTTTCTGTTAGAAGGGGCATTTTTGTGATTTTTGTTAATTGTTCAGTTAGATTTGTTTCTTCTGTATATGTATCGTAGCTTGTAGTCTGTATTGATTCAGTTGAAGAAATAAGAACATACAATCTCTCTCTCTCTCTCTAACAATTATATATGCAGGCAAATTTTTAGATGTACATTTTAGCGAAATGCATGTTATGAAAGAGGATGGGGTTAACAGAGGAACAATCACTTTGTTTTTGTCAATCAATATTGAATGAGGATGAAACAAAGAAGACACGTTAGATAAGTAAATTTGTGGGCTTCTAATATTTTATAATCATGTTTGTATTTGTAAACCTTATAAGGCTAGATTCTGTAAACTGTTTTTTTTAGAACGGAAAATCTACTCTACTCCTAAACTACTCCTAATTCCACCTATGTCTCCAATGAGACTTGAACCCTCAACCTCTAGGAGGGAGAGCAACACCCGGGTACCGCTGGGCTAGAACAACAAACAGAGCTGCCATGATTGGGGATTTTTTAAGTTTTTTTCATGGTAAGAATGGAAGCTTATATCGAAGAGATTGACATCAAAATGGATAGATAATCATTATTAATGAACTAAATTTCGTTTTGATTTTATTGTTTTGGTTGCAGGAGATGAGTTTCAATTTTGTCATAGGAACAAGGAAGGGGTAGGGGAGGCGGTGAAGGAGAGAGAGGAGTAAGAAGATGATGGGGTTGGTGTAGGGGTGGGGGTATAGGATGGGGTGGTAGTGAGTGGGTCCTATCTTAGTATTACATTATTTAGAATTATAAATAAAAAAAAAGAAAAGGAAAAAAAATATATTATAAATGATATAACAGTCTTTTTATATTGACCGGGGATGGACATTGCAATTTTTTTGAAACCAAAAGGACGCGATCTGTCAACTTTTTCAAAGGTTGAACTGAACCTGCAATTCTAACTAAACCACAAGGACCATTTATATAATTTTCGCTAAATGATAACTACAATCTAATATTCTAAAAAGCTCGTCAAGACTATAAGGCTTGTAGTTGACGCCAAGTTTTAGCAAAATTAAAATTATAAATATTATAAAGTTTATATGGTGATGATTATATATATGTAACATTTTTTGAGATTAAATTTGTTGACGTTGTTGGAAATTAAAATTATTACAAATTCAAAGTCATTTTTTTTGGATGCGACTGCTATTGGGTTTTAGGTAATAAAAATTCCAACGATTTAACTTATTAAGACCATAAATGGGTGCGAGTATAACCGCAAACCAGATGGGTGTTTACTGACCGGGTGATCAAGTTTGGGACACAATTTTATAATCAAGTATGGGATTGAGATCACCAATACTCGTCCATTGCCATTCATACCCTCAATTTCACCTTGTGTCTCATTGTTAATTTAGTTAATAAAACCAAAACACTTGTAATTCTAAATGAATAGAGTTCACACATAGATATGATAACATCCAACAAACACTATAAGGTTCTCATGCATCTAATATTGATACTCCAACAACTTTAGAAGCACAACTGTACAAGTACATGTACATATGTGGTCCTTGGTTTACTCTCCAAAAGAGCCTTTATGGAGAGAAGGGGGACTCCAACACATATAAATATTTATGGACCGTGAATGCAATGTGGGATATACTAACAATCTATAGTCATAGCACATACCTTGAGCAGGAAATGGCCATGATAATTGATTGTCGAAAAGATTAAAGCGTCTGCTGGACCCAAGATTTAAAGTTTTCAACTTCGTCAATATGGAAACCCTTTCAGAACCTACATTTAGGAATTGAAGCAAATGGATTTGTAAGCTCTAATTTGATACACAACAAAGTTGTTTAGGAGAACACATACACGTATATACTTATATCCATTTTTAATATTGTTATTCATTCATTGAAAAAGGTAAGTCCTCCTTACTTTGACCCAAGAAAAGAAAAGGGTCATATTTCAAACTCCAACACATGGAAGAGTCATTCTCTTATGGTCTTGTAATGTTGCAAAAGAGGGATTTGTGTATGAATCCATGGTGGCTAGTGGTCGACGCAAGTATAAGAGAATGGAGGGAGATGCCCCCAACATATTGAAATTTTTTTACATAGAAATAGGATTGAGTTTGGATAAATAAAAAAAGATTTTTTTTAATAGAAATTTTTTTTTGTGCCACCAACCCATGCAGATCCTGGAACTGCCACTTTACGGACTATACGACATGATGGGTTTAAGATGATATTGATTACCTTGAATCTCGAAGGTACCATTGAATTGACAATTGCTTAGATCCAACATCTCCAAGTTCTCTAAAGCTGCAAACTCTGCAATTTGTTTGAAAAGGGTGTAAGTTTCTCTATAATATGCATTTGTGTATAATAACCTAAAAAAAGATGAAAACGTGCCACTGATAGGGAGGTTTCCATTCAAGCTAGTGTAGCTAAGATTCAAGATTTTTGAGTGAAGTGAGTGTCCTCAAAGATGGAAGGATGTCGTTGTCAATATCATCATTCCTGCTGAGGTCTAGTTCCTCCAATTTCTTCAGACTCGACAACCTTTCAAGTCCAGCAAAAGAGAAAAGCTTTTAACGTAGGCATCCTAGTCTTTTGAGATTAAAAGGGTAACTCTTAGGCTCAGTTGATTAATAATAACAAGTTATGGCATGAATTGCAGGAGCTGAAAGTACAAATAAAGTCTTGTGTTTGGTTTTTTGTTTATAGAAAAACATTATCCAATTACTAAGTTACCTGACAAGCATCTATGAGTGAATAAATTAGTTGGATGTTGTTCATGAATTTGGATAGTCATTTACTGGAATGTCTTGCTCAAAAGTAAGATGTTGGGACCATGTGAAAGAAATAATACTAAAGCAATAATCACGTTGTACCTGTCTTTATAATTTCTTTATCAAGAAAATTATATGACAAATTGAGACTTGTCAACTCTTTAAAATGAAGAAACAAGGAAACATTCAATGGCCACAACTTTCTCTCGAATTGATCCCTGTAAACGTCTCTCTCTCTCAAATTGAACAAAGAAAGCTCTGTGACATGTCCAGTGGTTGTGTTGCAGTTGACCCTCTGCCAATCACAACAGTTGCCGCCACCATCATCAGGGGTACTGCTGCCATAATCAACCCAGGTGGGAAGAAAATGATCCATTTTGGAATCATATAAGTTGATATGGGAGGCTTTGATGTCAAGTAGTGCCTTTCTCTCCTCTTCTATACAATCCCCTTGTGCTTTCCAGATCATAAGAATATGTATCATCGACGATAAATATAACCATGAGTTACGCTTACTCAAAGCCCAACACTCCATTTTGGTAGCTAATGATGGCTTAATTTGTAGAGACACTCACAATATTAAACTTCCTGTTTTAATCGTTTGGTTTGGTTTGCTTGGTATATGAACAAATATGTAATGAGGCATGATAAACATTTGATACGTAATGGAGTCAATATGTATGAATATTAATTGCATTATTTACCTCAAGTCATCAAGTCAATGGTCAAAATTGCTACACATAACTATAACTCTATTATCTATTCCATTGTCATGGTCAAAATTGCTTCACATAACTATAACTCTATTACATCTATTCCATTGTCAGCCACTCCTTCAACTTGTCCCAAAAACTTATGACACGACATTTGTTGACTTTTGCAACTAACTTCCAAGTCTCCATTCTCATAGAAAAAAATTGCCCCATTAAATATTTTTTCAATCACTTATATAAAGTATCAACAAAAAAATTTATTAACCACACACTGATATTATCAGAATCATAACATTTACACAAATTTCATTCAATCTTGGTTTTAAAAAGCGTGATGAGTTCCGATGCGTTTTTAGTTGTGACTCGGTGCGCCTCACGCATCAGGCACGCTTTTTTAAACCAAGCATTCAATTTAATAAAGTATATAAATAAACCTAACAAGAAGGTAGCTTAGAAATTTAGCTCTTACATTGGCCGTTTAATGTGTAAACGGATTTAAACCATGAAACTAATAGGTAATGATTTTTGAAGAATATTTATAAACATGAAGGGTTCATATACATGACTTATAAGATAACATTGACTACAAAATAAATTAAATGTTATGCGGCAGTATATTTGACAGGTAATAACTGCACTCATCCATACTAAGAGCATTCACAATATGTTGAACTTATTAGAGTTCAATGGATTGACACATCATCATTTTACTTTGTATACAACTCTACATTAATTTTCCTACATTGCATTGAACTCTATAAAGTTCAATGAAATATATTTTTAATAATTAAAAAGTTTCATTTACCTCATTAAACTCCATATCCCTTGAATGCCAACATGACATCCCATAATTGTAGAGTTTAATCAATTGAATGCCAATTAGACATGTCACCTCATTCAACTCTCTCATTTAACTAAGCATAGTGGATGCTCCAAAGAAACCTCCTCCAATATAAAGAAGTGTGAGGGAACAATGGATGGAGATGGTAGAAATTGCAATTAATGTTTAAAGAAGTGCAATCATGTATCCACTTCACTTGCTTCACTGTTGCTATGTGTGTCGAAACATTTATCCCCAAGACAATCTCACCCTGGCTTCATCTACTCTGCTTGTATAATCCTAAAAAGATATATTGCTTAAACCCAATTCCATGTTCTGACATAACCCCTCCCCTAATCATGTTATTTCAAGAAATAGAACTTCTCTGAGGCATTTCATCAAACAGGGGTTGTGGATTGTTATAATTGGAATTATCATCTCTCTTCTAGGAATTATAGTGTCAAAAGTCAAAAGTGGTTACTTTTTTTAATATGGGTCAAGGTTGGCTTAGCTTAGTTGGCCTGCCATCACTTTTTTGTCTTTCTTTTAAGTAATTAATGTATTAAATGTGAACACAAAAATTTATGTCATTGGAATTATAATTTGATTTAATGAAGAAAACCGTTTTAGTACGTTTGCAAAGTTTTTAAATTTGACCCTTTTGATTCGTTTGGGTGTAAAATGCTTATACTAAATCAATTTCTGATTAAGAAAATGAGTTGAATTTGTTATATTGGATTGCTGCTGTTTACAAAAAAAGTAATGTTTTTTTTAACAACATTCATCACAAGTATATTAATTAATCTATCTTTAAACTCTTTATTATGTAGGAAATTGGAGAAAGAATTATCATGGGGAAAATCCCACTTTGTGGAATCATACGGTTTGCCAATAAGCACATATTTTAGTGTACTGAAGCTCTTATGGCTGCTGGAAAATGTGGATGCTGTGAAAGCAGCAGTTGAGAAAGGAGATGCACTTTTCGGAACCATTGATTCCTGGTTAATATGGAATTTAACTGGAGGCATGCATTGATAATGGCATACATGTCACTGATGTCTCTAATGCATCCAGTGTTATGGTCAGACAGTTAACACACGAACATAACTCTCATTTTTGTAACAAACAAGAACTCAAGAATTTAAGGTTGTTCGGTCTGATGACCTACATCCACACACAGGTAACTAGGAGTTTTATTTCTTTTGTGTCTTACATTTACAAATACAGAGTAGTCTCATATATATATATATATATATATATATATATATAGATATATATATATATATATATATATATATATATATATATATATATATATATATATATATATATATATATAGATTGAGATGATAACCGGTCAAAGGAAAAAAGAAAGGGAACCATAAAGCATGTCATCAATACGGTTGTTCACCAAACACAAAAACAGATATGGCCCTTAAATTCTGGCTACGTGTTTTCTGGCGCTATCTTTATTCTTGACCAACCCAATAAATGGCTTCACACACAACATCAAGAACCATGCTCATGAATCTGAAAACACTTGATTGGGATGAATCAACTTTGAAAACATTAAAGATCCCTAAAGCCATTCTACTAAAAATTGTAAGCAATACCAAGGTAATCGGTCACGTAGGAAAGGAATGGCTGATTCCGGGAATCCCTATTTCCGGTTGTTTAGGCGATCAACATGCAGAAATGTTAGGTCAGACCATGAGTGACCATAAGTGCTTTTAGCCTCTCCTTTCCTACAAGATTGACCTAACATTGCTGCATGTTGATCGCCTAAACAACCGGAAATAGGGATTCCCGAAATCAGCCATTCCTTTCCTACGTGACCGATTACCTCGAGATTGCTTACAATTTTTAGTAGAATGGCTTTAGGGATCTTTAATGTTTTCAAAGTTGATTCATCCCAATCAAGTGTTTTCAGATTCATGAGCATGGTTCTTGATGTTGTGTGTGAAGCCATTTATTGGGTTGGTCAAGAATAAAGATAGTGCCAGAAAACAGGTAGCCAGAATTTAAGGGTCATATCTGTTTTTGTGTTTCGTGAACAACCGTATTGATGACATGCTTTATGGTTCCCTTTCTTTTTTCCTTTGACCAGTTATCATCTCAATCTCTATATATATATGAGACTACTCTGTATTTGTAAATGTAAGACACAAAAGAAATAAAACTCCTAGTTACCTGTGTGGGGATGTAGGTCATCAGACCGAACCACCTTAAATTCTTGAGTTCTTGTTTGTTACAAAAATGAGAGTTATGTTCGTGTGTTAACTGTCTGACCATAACAACTGGTATCACAGCTTTGGCTCTCGATTGACACATACGAACAGAGAAGGTGAAGGAGCTTACATGTTGGAAGAGATCGAGACTAGGGTTTGGTCGCCATGAACACCAGCTCCATCTGAGCCAACCATCTCTCACTAGGGTTCTCTCAACCAGCTACCAACACAACCTCCACAACCATTCTGGGGCTATCTTAGCCTCGTTTTTCACCTGAATAGTGTGACCAGAACCGCCGATTCACCGGAATCGCAACCCGCCGGAGACAGAAGCCTGGACCGATCGTTCTTTTGTTGGGGGTGACCACAAATTTCTCTTTACAAGTTTGTCGCCATTTAACACGTGAAATAGAAAAGTCTCGTGTTTCTATTTTTTTATTGCTTCCGCTAGTATAATTGCCACTTAGCAGTACAAACCTGTTTGGTTTGTAGCAACTTGGTAATATGTTTGTTAAAATGGCAGAGGATAGTAAGATCAAGATTGAAAAATTTGATGGTAGTGATTATGGGTTCTGGAAAATGCAAATTGAAGATTTGTTGTATCAGAAAAGTTTGCATTTACCTATGTTGGTCGTACAACCGAATGATATGTACAATGAAGAATGGAAGTTGTTGGATAGACAAGCCTTGGGTGTGGTTAGGGGTGGACAATGGAAAGTGATCAAAGGCAACCTGGTGATTGCCAAAGGAAAGAAGAAAGGCACTATATACATGGTAGAGATACTTGGTGATGGTGTTCATGCTGTAACCACCAATCCAAGTCCATCTAATTTATGGCACCAACGACTCGGACACATGAGCGATAATGGATTAAAGATGTTGGCTAAGAAAGGGAAGTTTCCAGACTTGAAGAAAATTGAAACTGAATTTTGTGAATCTTGTGTTCTCGGGAAACAGAAGCGGGTTACTTTTTGTAAAGACGGGGAAAACACCGAAAGCTCAAAAGTTGGAGCTTGTTCACTCGAATGTATTCGGACCAACACTAGTTTCATCTTTAGGAGGTAAAAACTGTTGGATATAGTGTCTAAGTCCATAACTATATTTGGTATGTACTTGACCCGACCCGGCATGGTCCATTTGGGTTGCACTTCACCCGAACAATTTATGGATAATCGTTTGAGAATAGTATAAGTTATGATTTATTAATATATTATAAGTCCTAATATATTAATATAAAATCATATTATTTAATTAGTACTAATCTATAATTAATCTAGAATTAATTTAGAGATCAAAAGTATGACTAATTAAATATGGGCTCTTGTATTTATATAGTGTGGGCTAATGTTTATTTGGAATGGGCTAGGCTTGCATAGAAAGTCCATGGATACTCCATGGAGCTTTAACCCATGGATCTCATGGAAATGAAAATACATGGGTATTAGGGTTTACATGAATGTAACCCTAATCCACCACACTATATAAAGGAGGCTTTGGTTCTTGAAATCACATGAGTTGTGGTGAGTAAAGTAAGAGGGCCGATTTCAAGAAGGTGATTACTATTCTCTCAAAGTTCCAAGTTTGTGGTGATTTGTGATTTCCATTTGAGGCATCCACACTATTGGTGCTAGGCTCTAAAACTCCAAGCAATCAACTACAACTACAAGGTAAGTAATTCTACTAGCTTTATTTGATTCAAGTTCCCCATGCCATGCTAGATAGGATAAGAACCTTGGAAAAGTAATTATTTGCATGTATCATAGTCAAACATAGATCCAAGGTTTCTAGGGTTGCATGTACACCATAGGAGTGTTAGAATGCTCAAAAACCCATCAAAAACTACTATGTAACCTTTATCGATGATTCAACACGCAAGGTATGGGTCTATTTTCTTA